TGCTGGAGAAAAGATAGCTTCTTTAGCAAATGGTCATGGAAAAACTGGCTTTCCACATGCAGAGGAATGAAACTAGCCCATGTCTCTCACCCTGTGCTACAGTTGAATGGATCAAAGACTAGATATAAAAACCAGAAACACTGAAACTGCTAGAAGATAAAATAGGGAATCCCTTGAAGCCACAGACATAGGCAGACTTGCTGAATAGAACTCTAGTGGCACAACAAAAAACACCAAGAATCAACAAATGGGACTACATCAAATTAAAAAAACTCTGTACAGCAAAGAATCAAGGGTGGAGACACCCTACAGAACGGGGAAAAATATTACCAGCTATTCTTCTGAGAGAGGACTCATATCTAGAAATCAAAAAACTAGACCCCAAAAAACAAATGGCCAGTCAAAAAATGGGCAAATGAACTGAATAGTCACTTTTCAAAACAAGAAGTACAAATGGCCAATAAATACATGAAAAAAAAGTGTCCGGCATCTTTAGCCATTAGGGAAATGAAAACCAAAACAAGTCTGCGATTCCATCTTACTCCAGTCAGAATGCTATCATCAAGAACACAAAAAGCAACAAATGCAGGTGAGGGGAAAAGGAATCCTTTAACGTTACTGGTGGGAATGTAAACTAATACAACCACTACGGAAATCTACCTCAAAAAAACTAGAAATAAAAATTTCATTTAACCCAGCTTAACCTCTCCTTGGTATTTTCTGGAAAGAGTAAAGAGTTAAAGACATCATACTATAGTGGTACATGCATATACTACAGCAGCACAATTCACAATAGCTAAACAATGAAAACAACCTGGACTTGTATCAATAGACAAATAAAGAAAATGTGATATATATGGAGAATTATCAGCCATAAATAAGGATGAATTTGAGTGATTTGTAGTAAAATGGATAGATCTTGAGACCGTAATGTGAAGTGAAGTAAGTCAGACACAGAAGGTTAATTATCCCATGGTTTTTCTTATATGAGAAGCCCAAAATATGAATAAATTAAAGAATAAAACAAAGGACTGATGGGAGAAAACACAGAGCTTAACTTTTCGGAGTTGAGGAAGGGAGGAGAGGGGAAGGTGGAGGTAAGAGGGATCAAAAATGATCAAATATGTATGTATGTGTGTATGCATACCATGCTTTTAAAATAACTGCACTGTTATACTAAAACATTTTATATATATATACATAATATATCTCAGTTCCCCAAAATATAATTATTATGTATCAAAAACATATACCAATAAAATTAAAAGTCAAAAAGAAATATAGAACTAACTTTTATTTTGAAATGCTAACATATCAGATCAGATATTTGAGTTTTGAGCATATAAGCTCTTGGAAATAATATCCTTTTGTTGATAATTGGATTTAAAGATGAATATATGTGTGCGTGCGTGTGTGTGTGTGTGTGTGTGTGTGTGGTGCTAAGGATTGAACCCAGCGCCTTTCCCATACTAGATAAACACTCTGCCCATAGCTACAACTCCAGCTGAGACAGATTTTTTTTTAAATGTATTCACAGGATCTCTAGAGCCAGTATCAAAGTATGTTTGAAAAAATAAATGAAATTTTTTATTGGTATTTTCTTATGTATATACATAAAACTATATAATATCAAGTATTTTTAAAACAACCAATGAAATTTAATGTACCTTCATTTCATCTTCCATAATTTAATATATGAAACTAAGTTTGTTAAAAGAATTCTTACATTATCTATTACATATTCAAAATTGGCTTTATTGCTTTTATGCTAGCTGCACTATTATACTAAAACATTTTCAAGTAAATGCGTACTTTAAAATACAAGAGTAGGGGCCAGGGATTTAGCTCAGTGGTTCCGGCGCCTGTCGCGCAAGTACAAGGTTCCGAGTTCGATCTCTGGTACTAAAATAAAATAAAATAAAATACAACAGTAGGTAATTTAGCTTCTTTCCAGAAGAATGGGAATAAAAGTCATAACTTGATTCGGAGGCTTTTTAAACTATATTGCTTGTCATGTTTGGCCTCTAAATAGCTTTTGAGGGGGCACTGAGGATCTAATTCAGGTCCTTGCACTTACAGGGCAGGTGGCGGCACCACTGAGCTAAATTCCCAGCCCTCAGATAGCTTTTTTTAAGCTTACTTATAAATGTTGGCTGGCTTTTTGTTTCAAACGGAATAATCTTGCCTATACTGTAACTTTTTAAATATCTGACTGCTCATTGTATCTTAATTGCAGTTAAGGATAAATATAACTACCCTTGGGTGTCTGTGAGAGACTGATTCCAGGACCCCCAGGGATAGTGAAATCTGCAGATGTATGCAAGACTCATATAAAAATGTAGTATTTGCATATAACCCATGTACATCCTCATTATACTGTAAATCATCTCTACTTATAATGCCTCACAGTGTAAATGCTATGTAAATAGTTGTTAGACTTTATTATTTAGGGGACGATGACAAGGGAAAAAGTATGTTCAGGTGTTTGGGTTTTTTTTTAGTAGTTTTGACCTGAGGTTGGTTGAATTTGCAAAAGCTTTGTGTACAGAGGGCTGGAAGTGTATAATGTATTTATAAAATTTGTTTTTAAAGCTTAATATTTTAATAATCATACTACAACACATGTCCCAGAGGCTTTTTTTACCTTGAGAAAAGTCTCAATTGTGGGTCAGAAATTAAAGAAATTATGTAATTATTCACATTTTAAAATTTTAAATTTACAATCTCTTGCCTTGCTTTGTCTTTTAATCAGAATTACTTTTTAGGAAGAAGTACATTTTATGACAAATGTGCTGTATCTTTGGTTATTTTGTTTTGAGACTATGGGGCAAACTTCCTAAGGAGGCATTTTCTCTTTTAGGTGTATGCTAAGAACTGCCTTTGTTTTCATGAGAATGAACAATCCTCACAAAAGTTTAATTGCACTGTGGTTTTTACTTGTGGCGCATGTGTGAATGTGAAAAACAAAGCAAAATACATAACTTTCTGTGGCTTATGTTTTTCATTTGCAGCCTTCAAGCAAAATAAAGGTACCTGAGGAGAATTTCTTCAATGTTCCTGCTTTCTTAACTGTCTCAGGACAACTACATCTAGAAGTGATGTCAGGGTACAGAATTTTCTTTTCTCTTTTGCTTATGCTGATTGTAGTTTGGGTAAGAAGGAAATAGTACTTCCTTTTATAAAAGAATCACATTAGTCTGGACATTTGTTTTTAGTTTTAAAAAACTGTAAAATTGAAAAGATGAAGTTTTTTTTTTACTAATTATTCTTGCTTTCCTACTTTACATCTGAGATAGCTATTATCCCATTTCACTTATAAATTAAGAAAAGTACCTAGAACAATGAAAGAAAATACTTTTTCAATAATTGATTTAAATACTGTGAGATACATTAGCAAGTTGTTTAAGAGCAAATGAATTTTAGCCACTGTTAGCTCTCTGAAAAGTCATCGTGTTCCTTTTCCTTAAACAAGGAATTAGACAAGAAGCTTTTGTCCTGTGTAAATCTTATGTTCTGTGTTTCTGTAGGTAATTTCTTAATGCGGATCCAACAAATACTGAATTTCCTATGTATATCTTTGTTATCTCATATAGGTATTAGGACTTTAAAAATCTCTCAGAAAATAGTCTGAATGAAAAGAAAGAAATCTGTATTGTTCCTCATTGTTCTTAAAATGTACAGATACAAAAACTTGAGGAAAGCAATAGAATAAATTGAATGTTTATTTGTGTACATACTTTTTGGCAGGATGGAAAAACCAGTGATGGAATAAAGATGTTCTTGAAAATAAGATATTCTTAGGTTATTTTCTGATTTATCTTCGAGACAGAAATGTGTTATTTAATAGTTCCTGTAGTGGGCCAGGTTAGCTCAGTGGTTCCACGACCTGCCTCACAAGTGCAGGAACCGGAGTTCGATTCCCGGTACCACACACACAAACGCACGTAAAAAATAGTTCCTATAATAGTAATTGACAGTATTATCAAGAATACTATGCAGAACTATTATCATAATAGCTCTGTGAGGACCAGGGATTTAGTTCAGTGGAAATGCACCAGCCTGGCAAGCACAAGGTCCTGAGTTCAATTCCCAGTACCAGAAAAAAAAAATAATAATAGTAATAGCTCTGTGATACTGTAGGATTTGCAGAGCTGGCTGTGGGTAAGCCCATGTCAGGCATGTCATGGTAGTTTTTTTATGCCTATGAAAGCATAATTTTAAAAAATGAAAGACATCACTCAAACAAATATAAGTAAACATGTATCAAAGGTTTTATCCAATTCATTAATTACTGCAGGAACAAGAGAAATAGTGTATTTCAGAGAGCTTCTGAGGAACCCTGTGTTCAGAGGCAATTTAACAACTTGTAGAATAAGATTTCTATGTTAGTTACAAACTGGTTGATGTTCTACAGACCCAATAGACCCTAACCTTTGGGATTATCTCTTTTCCCTGAAGGAAATTATTTGCAGCTCTATGGCCCCAAATCTACAAGTTAACATGTAACTTCAATCTGGGAAATTTAGTTTAATAGCAAATAGAATAATGGAGCAAATATATTCCCCTTAGTAATAAAATAATCTGTGAGTGGGTCTGAGTCCCTGTATTTTATTGAAAGGCCATCACCTTTTTAAGGCTGTCCTCAACAGCTTTTCAATGTTTGTCAGGGGGTCTCCCCATCAGAATTGTCATGATATGGGAAAGATGTAAATTTACCAAATGTTTGTTTTTGTTTTATAATACCACTAATATGTTAAATATGCTTATTTTCCAGTAAAGTGCAGTGAACTATAGAACAAATTGTACAGTGAAACTTGACAGAGGATTAGATTGGTGGAATATTGTTTCATATTTATAATGTGTTATGAAATATTGTAATAATGTCAGTCAAATGTTCCTATTTTAATATGCATGGTTCTAGGATGATTAATATACAGTACATCATGTTTCTGATTAATGCATAATTTAATCTCCAATAAGAAATTGTTAGTGCTCTTTCCCTCAGCTTTGTTTTTTGTTTAATTTTATTTAAAGGACTTTAAATGGCATAAATGGGAGTAAAATTTAGGTTAGCATTTTCCAAAAGGATTTCTATGTTAGTTTAGTGGGTTTATGGATGCATTTTAAAGAGTTTTTTTTAAATTCTGTGTTGGAATAATTTTGTTAAAGAATAGTTGCAAAGATAGTATACAGTTTTTAAATACCCCCACCCAGTTTCCTCCCTTTTTTAATATATTCCATTACCATGGTACATTTGTCAAAACGTAGGAATCCAATATTAATATATTACTTTAACTAAATTCCAGACTTTATTTGGATTTCACTAGTTTTTCTATTAATATCTCCTTACTTTTCCACGATTCAGTTTGTGGTACCATGTAAAATTTAGTTGTCATGTTTTCCAAGTCTCTTCCAGTCAGTGACAATATCTCAACTTTTCTCTTTAATGATATGTAGAATGTACCCTAATCTGGTTTTGTCTGATGTTTTTCTCATGATTAAACTGAAGTTTCATGGATTTTTGGAAGAATACCACAGAGGCAAAGTGCTCATCATGTACTGGGGAGTATGTGATGATACCCATATGGAACTTTAACTACATTAGTTGGATAAAGAAAATGTTTGTCAAGTTTCTACACTCAAAATATAGTCCCCTTTCCCTAATCTGTTCTTTGGAAGTGTATCACTAAGTCTAGTCTACTCTAACCAGGGGAGGGATATGGAGAGGAAGGTTGAATTAACCACCGCTTAGACAGAATATTTGAAATACTTTATGGAAGATTTGTCTCTTCACCTTTATTTTTTTAGTCATTTGTATTAGAATGGACATTTATTTTGTAGTTTGAGTTATCATTCAGTACTGTTATTTACTTTGTTGCTTAAACTGGTTTAGTTTTAGTTATTGAATATTCATGCAGTTTGATTCTTTTGTCTCTTCTATATGCCCTGTCCTATACTTCCTATTTATTTTCTGGTACTACAGCATGCCCCAGTTTTTTGGTTTTATTTTTTATGTTCTATTAATCACCTATATTTTCCTTTTTTTCCTACCCTTTCCTTTCCTCTCTCAATGTCCTTTTCTTGTCTTACCTCTCTCTCTTTCTCTCTTTCTTTCTGTCTGTCTTTCTTTCTTTCTTTCTTTCAACAGTTGATGAATTTCTATTGACACATCATTATTATCCTAAGTCCATAGTTCATGTTAGTGTTCAGTCATATGTTATACATTCTCTATATTTTGACAAATGCATAACAACATGTGTTCACCACTGTAGCATTGTACAGAATAGTTTCTTGCTCTTAAGGTCCTCTCTGCTCCACCTAGTCCCTTCTAATCCCTGGAAACCATTGATCATTTGATGTCTCCGTAGTTGCCTTTTCTTTAATGTCTTGTGGTTGGACTCACACTGTGTGTTGCCTTTTCAGATGGGCTTATTTTACTTAACTAATACATATTTAAAGTTTTTCTGTGTCTTTTCATGACTTGATAGCTCATTTCTTTTTAGCACTGAATAATACTCTTTGTGTGTGTGTGTGTGTGTGTGTGTGTGTGGTTCTGGGGATCAAACTCAGGACCTTGCAAGGCAGGCGCGGTGCCACTGAGCTAAATCTCCAGCCCCTGCACTGAATAATATTCTATCACCCATATAATCCTCCTTATTCACTTATCTACTGAAGGACATCTTTGTGATTTTCAAGTTTGAACAATTTTCTTAAGCTTATTTTCCCCACTGTAGCTCCAGAACCAGCCATTTCTCCAAGGAATCCTGATTCCTTTTATTGAAGGGTGGTTTTTAGAAATCAACATTTGGTCACTTGTATATTTTACTACCACTGAGGGCGACAGGAAGTTATTGCTTCTATGCTCTCTTAACAGATTGAGCTATAAATATACTTTTAAAATTAGACAAAGATAAATGTTTTAATTGCATTCTGCCTATAACTATAATTTTATAAGTAAGAAGTTCATTCTGAGAGAATTAGAAATGCCCTGAATTGCAAAACCTGCAATTGGGAAATGTAAAAAGATACCCTGTTTCTTGTTAATTAAAACCTTGGAGGAATTATCAGCCTAACATATATGAAAGATTTTTTTAAATTATTGTTTGGGTTTTTGTTGTTTTTATTTTATGGTAATAGTTCGTTTTGGGGGTTTTGTTTTGTAATAAGCCATGAACCAAGCATATATCAAGTTAAAACTGATGCTTTCCTCTTGAACTATGTTGTTGGAAATGTAAATTGGTACAGGCTCTCTGGAGGAATATTTTTTTTACCAAGAATTTCACTTCTAGGAATATTTCTTAAGGCAACAATGTGACAATTCTGTAAAGATGCATAAATAAAAATGTTGATAATAACTTTATAATAGTGAGAAAATACTGATAACCTAAATGTCTAGTCAAGAAGACAGGTAAACCCACAATATTACTAAGAAAATCAACCATTACCATTTATTATCTGGGTCTGAAAGACTTTGTTTTTAATAAATATTTTAAAGCAATTGTCTTAGTTACTTTTCTCCTTGCTGAGACAGAATACCCTACCCCCAAAGGTAAGGAGGAAAGGTTTATTTGGCTCACAGTTTATAGAGGTTTCCCTCTGTAGTCAGCTGGCTCCAAGGCAGGGTGGCATGGCAGAGGGGCATTGCAGAGCAGGCAGGCAGAAGGCAGCAAGGGAAAAATGACAAGCAACGGGTTTCTTTGTCCCTTATTTGTTATGCAGGCTACACACCCTTAAGCCTAGCATCCCAAATCCTTGATCCCAGCATCACACACCCTAGATCCAGCCACCTCCAAAAAGTCCCACCTATGACTGCATGAGGCTTTGGGGGGACATCTAGATATAAGCCATAACAGCCATTTTATGAATAATATGCAGAAGTAAAAACAAAAGGATAGTGAAAATGATATAGCGTCATGAAAAATTTTCATAAAAATTTGAAGATAACAAATTAGTAATTTTAAATTGCTTTATGGAAAAATAATTTGTGTACCATAAAATCACAGATTTAAAGTGTTTGATACAGAGAGTTTTAGTATATTTTTGCAGTTGTTCAAACATCACCATAATTATTTTAGAAACTTTTCCCATTCGCCATCACTTGGTATC